CACATTTTCACTGTGACGGTGACCGAGCACTGGCACAGGTTGCATAGGAAGGTTGTGGAGTGTTCATCCTTGGAGATATTCAAAAACCATCTGGACACGTTTCTGGGCAATTGGCTCTAGGTGGCCCTGCCTGAGCAGGGTGGGTTGGACTAGATGACCTTCAGAGGTTCCTTCCAGGCTCAATCTTTTTGTGTTTCTTTGATTCTGTGAACCCTGTTCCACTTTATACTCTTGATATTTTTAATATTTTCTTCATAGCTACAGGAGTTGGAAACAGGATTTTTTGAGGGTAAAAACAAAAGTTGAAACTAATAAGTACAAGTCTCTGATGAAATACCTGGCAAGAGCAGGATTCTACTGTCTGATGCATAGGGCCACAGGGGCCTCCAAACAACACTTTAATGGTTTCACTAAATTATAGATCTCTGCTCTCCATTTTGTTCTCTAAGATGAAATAAAACAGTGCTTTCACGATTAAGTGTATCTGTACTGTATCCAGATCTCTGTCAAATGAAATCACTCTCACTGGTCTGGCAGATCCTCTCTGTTCTTTCATATTCCCTGCTTCCCTTTGGTTGTACATGTTAATTTCTTCAATTACTGGAGAAAATAAGGTGGAGGGAGTGGGCAGAAACTGTGTGTGTACCAGCAAGAGACTAAAAAACTGCTCGTGGTGTTCAAGAACTCACCAAGGATGCCAATTTTCAACAATGTGTAGAGCTTCCTACTTTCACAGAAGTACAGTTGGAGGTGAGCAAAAGTGAAATTTTGGATAATTGCAATAAAGTTACATTTACTTGCCAAAGATGGAAGTTACCAAATGTGGCAGAGTCTAGTGTGATCCCAAAGACATACAAGATCTGTCATTTTGTTGGTGTGGCATTCCCTCCCTCTGCAACATTTTGCACTGCAGAAGCAGCTTGTTCAAATTCTTTCTCAATTCTTTTGCTCTTTAAGCTGGCAGGAAAGTGTTTAGGGTTTTTTTTTAATACATGTATCAGAGAACAGAATAAGAATGAATACCCAGCTGGCATGGTGTGAATTTGCCAATCAAGCATGACTGTATCACTCACTTTAAACTAGCTAGAAATGCATCCACACAGATAGCACTACTCAGATGTGGCTTTTCTAGATTAAAAAGTGGCATGTCATTCATCCCAGGAGTCAAAAAATAGAAACAACAAAAAAAAGCCAAAACCAAACCCTGTGAGATTTACTTACAATCTATCAGGACTTGCTAAAAGCTTTCACACTAAGGGCAAATCATGCCTGACAAATATGGTGGCCTTCTACAATGGGGTTACAGCAGTGGTGGATAAGGGAAGAGCAACTGACATCATGTACCTAGATTTGTGCAAAGCATTTAACTCTGTCCAAAGCACGATATTCTTTTCACTACATTAGAGAGACATAGACTGATGGATGGACCACTTGAGGGATAAGGAATTGGCTGGCTTGTCACATTCAAAGAGTTGCAGTCAATGGCTTGATGTCCAAGTGGAGATCAGTGACGAGTGATGTTCCTCAGAGGTCAGTATTGGGACTGGTGTTGTTTAACATCTTTATTGGTGACACAGACAGGGGGATTAAGCGCACCCTCAGCAAGTTTGCCGACAACATCAAGCTGTGTGGTGCGGCTGACAGACTGGAGGGAAGGGATGCTATCCAGAGGGACCTTGGAAGGCTTGAGAGGTGGGCCTGTGTGAACCTCATGAAGTTTAACAAGGCAAAGTACAAGATCCTGCACCTCAGTTGGGCAATCCCAAGCACAAATACAGGTGGAGAATGGATTGAAAGCAGCCCTGAGGAGAAGGACTTGGGAATGTTGGTAGATGAGAAGCTCAACATGACCCAGCAAGCCAACTATGTCCTGGGCTGCCTCAAAAGAAGTGTGACCAGCAGATCGAGCGAGGTGATACTCTCCCTCTACTCCGCTCTTGTGAGATCCCACTTGCTGTAGTGCATCCAGCTCTGAGGCCTCAAACATAAGAAGGATGTGGACTTGTTGGAGCAAGTCCAGAGGAGGGCCATAGACATCAGAGGGCTGGAGCACCTCTCCTACAATGTTCACCCTGGCAAAGAGAAGGCTCCAGGAAGACCTTATAGCAGCCTTCCTTATAGCAGCAGTATCTAAAGGGGGCCTACAAGAAAGCTGGAGAGGGACTTCTTACAAGGGTTTCTATGGATAGGACAAGGGGCAGTGGCTTTAAAGTAAAAGACTTTGTGGATGCCCCATCTCTGGCAGTGTTCAAGACCAGGCTGGATGGGGCTTTGAGCAACCTGGTCTAGTGGAAGATGTTCCTGCCCATGGCAGGGGTGTTGGAACTAGATGGTAGTTTAGGTCCTTTCCATCCCAAATGAATCTATGATTCTAGAATATAGTTTGTATACTTAAGCTGAAAGACATGGGAACTGAAACAGAGCTGCAAATTCAGTTGGGAACTCCCTACAGCCGACTACTCACTGCCCTGGAAGGGGAATGTTTGAACTGAGAGAAGTACTGTTACTGTTAAAGTCTATTCTGAGACCAACAGCTTATATTTGCATACATTTTCATTATTGTGGATGTGGAAGTGCTCTGGACACAAAGAACTGTGCAGGACTGTCAATAGAAAGGAGGTTCACAGTATTCTGAAGAGATGACTACAAAATCTTGAGGACTGGAATAAAAGAAATTAGATGAAATGCAATAATGGAAAACATACGGTCACGCACTTAGACATTTTTTAAAAGCATTTCTATTGTGGACTGTAAATGACAGACAAATAGAAGAAGGTGCCTGTATTTGTCACTCACAGCATGACCTGAACCACCACTGAGATTCAGTCATATAAAAAGCAAACTGGCTGTATGAGAAAAGGTAATTTTGGAAGAAATCAGGAAAGAATACCTCCATTGCAAAGACTGGCAATAGTTTGTGAAAGCTGTTACACACTGCATGTCAGCTACGCTAAAGAAAGCTGAATTCAAACTTTATATAGTGCAGTAAAATCTGAGTTACAGAGGCTCTGTCTTACAGGAGACTAATAAAACGTACTGATAGGTTATACAAGCCAAGAGTGGCTATGAGTACTGCCTATAAATACATTACAGATTTAAATGCAACAGAAAGAGAAATGCCTAACTGAAGCACTGGATGGCAAAGGGACAAATGGGTATGAACTGGTCTTCGGTGTGTTTGGGCTGGGTGTTAGAAGGAGCTTTTTAACATAGCAACAAGGGCAGTGCTGGTCTAGTCCTCCAGCAAGTACAGGAAACAGCATATTTAGTTTAAGACAGATCTAGTTGTGTTTATGGAAAGAGTTATATGGAGCATTTGCTCCTACAACAGCAAAGTACTATTTTCAAAACACAAGATCTGTGCCAGTCCCATGGCCTAAAGATCCCAAAGGTTTACCTGCTTAGCAGACCAGACAGTAGTATGCAGACCTAGCAAGCTTTTACACATCCTGGCCAGTGTAGCTCAGCAGCCCAGTTTCTTTCTGCAGAACTAGCATCATGAAAGTTAATGTGCCCCACCTTACTGAGGAACAGAGCTCTTCTGACATCTAGCATCAGCACGGAATTACAAAAGAACATTTACTTGTCAGAAGAAGCCAGTATCGAATCCCCTATGCCAAAAGGAAATTGCTCAGTCTTAGTAATACAGGACTTATCTCTTCATTGCCATATTTAAAAAGGCAACAGTCTGACTTTATGTGTCTGACCACTGAGCCTCCACAAAGCTTACTGTTGGATTTATGGCCTTACTCTTGATTGCTCTGGTTAACAAACTACTCAAACATCTCCTCACACAGGAGCTATACCTCAGTGCAAGCCAGGTCTCCTCACACAAGCTCTATACCTTAGAGCCCATCAGTGGCATGCAGCAGCAGAGAGACCAAGGAAACAGGCAGTTCTTGTTCCTGAAAAATAATTGGTTTGTACAGTGGATTAAAAAACTTGTGTGAAATTGACAACTGAGACAGGAAAAAAAATCTCGTTGAATGTAAAGCATTGTCCTGTGTTTTCCCTATGTAAAAATGGTCACCGTGCTGTCAATTTACACAAAACTTTCAGTCGCACAGATACACACTGCGGGTCTGCACTCAAGACACTTGCCTAACACCCTGTACCTGTGCAGTGCTTCTGACCTCTGAAGGGTCTCCATGTAAAGGATTGGAAAACCCTTAGACAGTAAAAGCACTGTGTTACAAAAGTCACTGCCTTCACCGTAAACATATTTATTTACTTCCATCGGTACAAATGCTCCTGCTATACATGCTGGGCTTCCGTTCAGTAAGAATTAAACACATCTCTTACAATTCAGCAATAGCAGAGATGGTCCCTTTGCTTTCTTCCCCAGCCCCACTCACGCTGGCTCATTAGCGTGAATAATAAATAAACCATCCCGGACAGCGACAAACGCTGTGCCAACGGCCCTCCTTCCTCGACGCCCCTGGGGACCCTCTCTGCTTCATTCACCCATCAGTGCTATCCCCGCATGCCAGCCTCCGGTGCTCACCACCAGCCTTGCCCGACCTGGCGCCGCCCCGGGACCCCCCACTCGCTCTCCGCGGGGGCGGCCCCGCCGTGAAGGCGGGCGCTGCTTGCCCTGCCCGCCGAGCGAGGAGTAGCCCCTCACCTCCCCTCCGGTCCCAGGGGAGGGGGCTGCCATCACGTGTACTTCCTCCCCCTTCTCTCTCTCTCCCTCCTCCTCCTCCCCCTCCGCGGCGGCGGCGGCAGCAGCAGCAGCAGCAGCAGCCTCCCGGCTCCGCTCCCTTTGTTGCAGGCGGAGCGGCGGCGCTGCCGGGCGCCGCGCACAAAGGAGCGCGGCCGGGGCGAGGCGGCAGCGCCGGCGGACAGGAGCCCCCGGCCCCACCGCCGGGAACAGCCCTGCCCGTGCCCGGGCGGCGGCGGCGGCAGCGGGTCCGTGCGGCCGCTGCGGCGGGGATGCTGAAGGTGCGCTCCGGCGCGGCGGAGAAAGGAGGGTCCCCGGGCGGCGCCGCGGGCTCCGGTTGATGCTGCGGGCCTGCCACCGCCATCCCGCTGCCGCCGGCGCTGGTCTTCGGCCGCCCCTCGCCATGCTGGGAGAGAGCCCGACCGCCGCCCGGCCGCTCCTGCGGGCGGGACCCCCGCTGGCGCTGTGCTACACCTCGGCCCTCCTGGTTCTCGCCCTCTCCGCCCTGCCCGCCGGCCGCGCCTCCCATCCCCTGCCCGGCTCCGAGTGCCAGGGCGGCGGCAAGGGGAAAGGCATCAACTGCTCAGGTAATGCCCCGCCGGCTCCCGCCCCGCGCCCATCCTTGCGGGCAGCCCACGCGTGCACGTGGAGGGAGGGCTGAGCGCGGCCCCCCCGCTCCGCCCGGCCCGGCCCGGCGCTGCGGGCGGCGGAAAACAAAGAAGCGGCGCCCGCCCCGGCCCCGGGTGCGGCGGGCCAGCTCCCCGGCCGGCGGGGGGATGTCCCTCTCCGGGGCGGGGGGAGCCCCCTCTCCATCCTCTCCCAGCCGAAGGAAAGGGTTTTGCTGCCGCCTCTTGGCTTTTTTTGTTCCCCGCTGCCCCCCGCCGCGGTGCCGGCAGGTGCGCGCCGGCCGCCCCGGGGGCAGCCTGCAGCGCGCCCCCGCCTCTCCCTCCTCCTCCCCTCCGGTCCGGCCCCATCCCCGTCCTGCCGCAGGCAGAGAGTGCGAGCCGGGCGGCAGCCGTGAGCGCAGCCCCGGACGGCGCTCACACGGGCTATTTCTCGGGTCTCACTCTTGCTGTGTGCCCACAAAACCCAGGACAGCCTCTCCGTCCGTCCTTCTGCCGGCTGTTGTGTAGATTCACTCTGGGTGAGGTGTCGGCGGCAAAACACCGTGATGTGCTCAGAATAAGGTTTTTAGTTTAGTTTTTTTTTTTCTGCTTTGTTTGCGTGACATAAACATAATATACATAAGTATACGGTGGTATTGTAGGGTTGCAATGTGTATGAATTGGTTCGGCATGGCAGCAGCACGTTTTCTTAGATCTTGAGAGATATGGTGGGTTTAAAGTAGAACCAAGTAAATACACACAACATAAAGTTTACAGTTTTTCAGAAAGACTTGTTTTTCTTCTAAAACTACTGTCTACAAAAGGGAATTTATTTTTTTCCTCCAAAAAATGGCTGTGTATGCCTCCTCCTGCTTTTTAAAATGATAGGTTTATTCCACTGCACGGATCGCCAGCAAGAGCTGTGCAAAGTGCCTTCTCCAAGGTGATGAAGGTTTCTCACCCTGTGTGCAGAGCGCCCTGCTCCCATTGTCTTCAGTGGGATTGGAAGGCAATTTCCACATTGGAAGGAACTCTCAGTACCTGGCAGGATGAGGTCCCCAAATTGTAAAACAGATTTCAAGAAATGAGTGAACGGAAGAGTGATCTTCCTCCCAATTACATTTTACAATATGGATAATGCTGCTAAAGCGGGCTATCAAATTCACGGACCAACAAACTGTGGCAAAACGGTTTTGCAATATAATAAATCTGCCATACACTCTTGATATGCTCCTTTTTTCTTCATTTTACTCAGTTTAGATATATACTGTTTACTGTGTGATATCACAGTCCTACTGCTTTGCTGCTGCCTGACTTTTCATTCTATTTGTATGAATATGATGGTTATTTTTAAAGAGAGGTTAATAGGTTAATGTGTCACTGGCATTAGCGGCTTACCCGTTAGAGACATGTGGGTCATTAGACCATGGCATGTGCATAAATCAGTGAGATTAAATATGGGAGGCTGGTGAAATATGTGAGGAAGTTTCTAAGATGATGTGGAACACAGGGATACCATTATTTAGAAACCAACACAGAAAGAGAGCTTTCCAACCTGGAATTAGAAAACCGTATGCTGTATCGAAGGCATTCAGAATTATTCAGTTCTACTAAAAATAGGCAGAAGCAAGTATATGTACTATATACATACTTGTGGCAGGCACTGTTTTTAGTGTAACTACAAAAACATGGAAAGAAAATTTCAGCTTCTGCTATGTGTTAACTGTTTTGTGCAAAACTGCTGGGCTTCAGTTATCAACTTTAATTTTGAAAGAACTAACATCAACATACAATATCTGGGTCAGATTTTCCCCTCACTTACCTTTGCATAGCTTCATTAACTTTTACTGGAGAAGCTACTCCTTGAAAAAGATGTGTTTCCTGTAGGTTCACTTGGGACCAGATGTTGGCGTTGGCACCTTTCTCAGTGGACTGCTACCATGTACATTGCTGTTTATAAAGAACACTACTCCTACTTCTTCCAATGTTTGGACTCTCTAAATTACTTTCCATACTCAAAGAAGAAGAATTCTTCTCCTTTCCTTTGCTGTTTTATCATTTTTATATGAGCATCAGTTTGACCTGCTGCCCTGAATAGTTTTTTACACTTCTTGAGAGGGTTCCTGGGCTTGTAACATTTTACCATCACTAAATGATTTAGCTACCTGTATGTATTTGTTAATTCTTTTCAGAAATGCTCTTTTATTGCTACAGAATATGCTGCTTAATAAAGAGTTGGCTGTAGCAAAAGAACATTGCAAGGTGGAGGACATAGGCAGACAACATGAAAATTAAGATAAGCTTTTTCAGCCTTGATTGTGCTCCTTTGGCACATACATTGCAGCTTGGCCTTTTGTTAAATTATGATATAATTGCATCATCCTTGGCCAAGGGAAGAACGTACGATCAAGTGATTAGAGAAGGAAACGGAGAATTAAGATATATCTGCAGTTAATTGACAATCTGGACTTGTATGTGTTTGTTCATCTGCCAATCTTTCCCCTTCTAAGCTAGGGAAATAAAATAGTCCCATTTTACCCAGAATAGGGTAAAAACCAAATTGGTATTTCTTTCTGGAAAAGAGAGTCTTAGGTTGATGTTTTGGAGATGGTATATTATTCCCAGCACTGCCTGTAGTCTTCTTCTGTAACATTTCTGATACTTGCTGGCTGTCCGTGAGCCAGGTGGCATGATGATTGCTGCTCTGCTCAGGCTGTGAGATAACTGTGAACTACAGGGAGTTATTGAGCATCCCACGTGTAAAGGTAAGTACAACACGTAGCTAGTTCGTGAGCTCCTAATCTGACGGTACTCTCCAGAGATACACACTGCACGTGAGCATCTTCGGTTTCAGTTTCAGTCTGGTTGAATCTTCAGTGTGAGATACGCTCCGGTCACCTGTGTGGCAGCCACAGGGGTTTGATCATAAGTGACCAGATGCCATGGATTTTGGTGGAAGATACACAGACTCGATGAGAGATATTATTGCTCAGTGCCTTGGTTTGGGTCTGTACACCCAGGATTTTAATTAACAGGGATATGTTTCCGTGGATAAGCCTTTCAGCGTGCTGTTCCTTCATGTGATAAAATAGGCTTGTTTGGGACGATTCTGTGCTCCGCCTATGAGTCTCATAGGCTATGTGCTGTCCCCTTTTTTCTTAAGTTCTCTTTGAATGAATTGGATAAAGATAAAGCTGTGTCAGAATAGCTTGTTGAGGACTGAATGAGGTCAAGGAAAAATTAAGGACGCCTCTTTTACAGAATTCCTCTTCTGAGGGGTATGAATGCACAGTCAACATATCTGAAATTGTAGATAAAAGTAGATGGAAATTAAAGATTAAGGAGAGGGAAGGGAATAGAGGGACAAAGTATCTATCCTGTGATAGGGTGATGGCTGAATCTATGATGAGGCGTTTATTGAGCATGGAAGTACAAGCTGTCAAAAAGCTTGCAAATTTTTAGCAAGAACAGAAGAGAAAGGTATGGTTGAATCATCCTTCAGCATTATCTCAACTTTCAATATGCTATGGAAACAGTAGAAAAAAGAGAGGAGGGAAGATGAGAACATGGTTAGCCAAGAGTACAACAAACATAAGCAAAATTCATGTGTTTCAATACTTTAAAATGTGGTAGGATGAGAAGGGAGGGGTAGACATCATCAGTAGGGCAAAGGCATCTGAAGGTTGAACAACAAGAGTGGGTCCTGAAGAGGGGTGAGAGTGGAAGATACTGACTGTTACACAAGCAGAAAAGAGTAAGGAAGCACTATGAGAAAAGATAGAGGGGGAACAACTTAGGGAGGATGGACATGGGTGGCAATAACCGGCCACATCATATGCATGCCTTTTTCCATCGTGTGAACAGAGTTTTAGAGGAAGAAGAATTGGGAAGAGCACAGAAGGTGAGTGACATGAGCAATGTTAGATCCAGTTCAAATGCAGATACAGTGCATTTGTTTTCAGTACTTTCTTAAAAAACTTCGTGTCTGTCCTCCAGATCCTGTAGCAGGGATCCTCCAAGCTTACTGTCACTGGCTACCTATATGTATGAACTGCCTAAGACAGGGTCTCAAGCTACTCACGTCTGCTACATTTACACTGAGGTGAAGACTTCAGTTTATTAGTGAGTTGGCCAAAATGAGTTTTGTGTGCACTCTTTCTCTCTCTAGACTATTGCATTGTCTGAAGCTTAGGTCCAGGCTGTCCCTGCTGTGACAAGCAAGAGTGAACACAAGCATGTATCTCCGTTGGCCCAGTCCATGTGACAGATGTGAACACAGATTTGGGAGGATATAAACCTCAGGCACTGCTGCTCTCTGGAGCTCAGCCGTGGTTTCTGCCTGGGCCCAGTGGGGACTCTGAACCAGAATGAGTTGTGGCCTCAAGACTGGCTTTCATCTGTGCTTATCAGCTAGAACAGACATACCCTTTGTAGTTTTTGTTCAAATTAAGTGGGTGAGGGGTTTCGTTTGGTGTATCATTCTAAGTTACTAATTTATGCTAAAGATATGTAGCCGTGTTGGAGGGAATGTAAGAACAAGGGGTGGAAGAGAGGTACAGGTTCAGGTAAATTGGCCCAACTATTTTAAGAAGTACATTTCTTTTTACATTTGCATAGATAAACTTGATCTGAGATGGTAGATGGGACTAGAATAATTGGTTATTTTATTTAAGATACTATGAGTTATGTTCCAATACAAGAATTATAGCATTTGAGCCAAATAAATATGATATGTGTTTGTGCGAGTTGAACTTATGAAATAAATGATCTAAACTCAGGTTACGTATCACTTTGAGGAACTATCATAAGGTATGAATATAAATCAACAATAAGTAAAAAGTAAAAGCAGTGATTAAAAAAAGAAATTAAAACTTGGACAGTAGCATGCACATATTTGTTTCTCTTTAATGCAATTGCCTAGACATGAAATGTCCTTGCAGTACAGATTCTTACACCGATTAAAGAACCAAAAGGTGATTAAA